TCTCTCTCTCTCTCTCTCTCTCTCTCTCTCTCTCTCTCTCTCTCTCTCTCTCTCTTTTCCGCTCTTTCTCTCTTTTTCTCTCTCTCTTTCTCTCTCTCTTTCTCTCTCTCTCTTTCAAAATCAAGAGAGTTCTCGCAGGGCACATGTGCAGAAATAGTAATGTGAAAGTGCAGTTCCAACACACCCATGCTTTCCCCAGTTATTTTCCCAGGAGTTTTTTTAGCACAGCTGTAGGTGGCACACAGGCCTCGCTTTAAGCAAATGCACAGGGTGAGGAGGCAGCTTCTTCCACTGACAAAAGCAGAGCTGCTGTTCTGAGACTGAATGTGCTCTGCCTCCCTCTAAGCACAGTGATGTGTGCTGCTTCTGTCTTGCTCGCTTCGCTGCTGCCCTTAATGGAGTGCAAAAGAGACAAAGGATGATTCACTGCTAACATTAACTTTCAGGAAACAGTGTTGTGTTTGCTGCATGTAGAAGTTGCCCATGTTGTTGTGCGAGGGCAGAATGGAGGCAAATGAATGCCAGTCGCTGCTCGGTGATACGAAATTGCGTTTTGCATTTGTGATAGTGCCGCTGTGATCTAAAATGCAATAATTCCCATCCCCCAGAGGAGCCAGGCTCCGCTGTCATGGAGCATCTGCAGCTTTTTAAGGACACTGGTGTTGTGTACGTCTGCTTGTGACGTGTGCAGACCAGGAAATGTTTGAAAAACTCGATTAATACAAGCGCAAAAGGTAACTTCTGCTGGGTCAGTCCTTCAGGAGAAACCTTGGCATTCGAACAGCAAATGTTTCAGGCCCAGTGGGAGTTGAAAGTGTCAAAAAAGGCATAATCAGGTGATAATTTCTCCTTTGGAAGTGTAATTTAAACTTATGTTTTACTTTCTTCAAGTATTGAGCAGCACAAATGGGGCTTTGTAGCTGGAAATAGCAAACTGATCCGCTCTTGTTCTCTGTCACTGCTTTGAAGGAACTGGTGACCGAAAAGGGTAACCTGTAGTACACTGAGAGATCTGTGTAAGTTGTCCCAGCCTTTTCCATTGTAGCTGCTCCTTGCTCTGGGAGGAGCTATGGACTGCTCCTACTGGGATGTTTGTTACAGACCACTTGAGTGGAAAAGAGTTTGAATTCCTTTACTTTGAATGTTTGTGGTTTTCGGTCTGTAAAAGTAGTGTCTGAAAGTAGTGCCATTTTGGCACTCAATTTCTAAAACAGAAAAAAAAACCAAAGGTTTTGTGCCCCTGTAAGATCACAGTTGCATTCCAGGTCTGCATGTTAACAACCTATATGGTCTCTGACAAAAATGGAGTGAACTGTAATTTTTTTTAGAACAGAAGTGCTGATTAGAGATGTGTAAAATACTGTCCCCTTTCCGAGACATGGGGCTGCTGGCACAGATCCACAGGATTTTCTGTAGGGCCCAGGAAGAAGCGATGATCACCTGCTTTCCAGAATCTCCCTGGAGCTGATTGACCGTTTTGTGAGTGGTGGTTTCTGTGAAACCTACAAGGTGCCATAGTCCTTCCAGTTAATGGTAATAACAGTCTCAGAAAGCTGGACCTGGCAGGGACCGCTCACAACCACACCTGCAGAACCCATGTTATTCCCAGCGGAGTGTTGTCCGGCCAGGGAGGCTCCCAGCTCGTCCCAGTCAGTCCATACCAGAGGGAAGGTCTATCCTGAATGCCTAATGCACCTCCTTGTTGCAGCTCCAATAGTCACTGCCATCCATGACGAGTGTGAAAAGCAGGTTCTTTCTTTTCTCTTTGCAACAGCCCTCTGCATTGTGAAATGTTGCTGTGTTCCTTTGTCCCATTATTCTTTCAGCAGAGCATCCCTGGTCCTTCCTGTCTTTCCTGCAGGTCAGCTTTCCTTATGACTTATCATCATCCTGGCTGCTCACCTTTGAACCCCTTTGGGCCCCATCCAGTGATCAGACAGACGAGATAGTCCAGCAGTTACCTTCCCCATGCTAGGGACTGCTCCACAAGCCCTGCAAGCTGTGCATGTATTCTTTCATCCCAGTATTTGGGATTTCGTGTACATTTGCCTTGTGCATCATGAAGGCAGCATCATGATCATGATGTTGACTCAGGTTCAGGTTGTGATCCTGGAGAACCTGGTTCTTCATCTGCAGAACTGCTGTCCAGATCAACCTCCTGTCTTTTGTTTATGGATTTCTAAACTAGGTTAAATATTTTATAGAAAAGGTCAATTAAAGCCTTATTTCTTTTCCTGTGTATCTGATACCTGTTAGTTTTAGTGGTAGTCCCATCTTACAGTTTGGTTCTATGGAAGGTGTAACATTCCTGAAAGTTAAGTGATATGGGAGGAGGCAAAGAGCTGGTGTTTTAAAGAGAGATTTAGTCAGAGGAAGAGTATCAGTTCTTCTGTCTTGTTTGTGAGCTGAAATGCCCACATTTGACTAAAAAAGGCCTGGCCTCCTGCATCGCTGACTTGTTGGGTGGAAAATCCTTTAAATAGAATGTGCATATGTAAATTTTTTTCTGTCTTGGTTTTGGCAGAGGTTTTGTTTAAATACCATCCAGCATGAGTGGTTTCGCGTCTCAAGTCAAAAGTCGGCTGTTCCTGAAATGGTCGGAGACTACATAACTGCTTTTGAAGAGATTTCTCCCGCTGTCCTCAGACATATAATCAATATGGCAGATGGAAATGGAAACACAGCTCTGCATTATAGTGTCTCGCATTCTAACTTCGAAATTGTGAAGCTCCTTTTGGATGCAAGTAGGTTGGCTGTTTTTTTCCCTTTTTTTTTTAAGTCTTTACAGGTGGAATTCGTCATGAGCAAGAGGATGAGCTAGGGCCTCTTCCAGCAGTGAAGCATTTTAAGTGTCATGTGGTGGCTCACCTGAATAATCTGGAATCTCGGGTTTTGGTGCTAACTTCAGAGATGGTGATGATGGTTCTTGCAGAAGTTCCAAAAAAGGTCCAAGTAAATCATAAATGGAGTTGGCCAGTAGTTATGACAGATAGATAGACCCTTGATTCTTGGTCTGTGGGCTAACTTAAGTCACACTGTCCCCTTAGCAGTTTTCTCTGGGAGCCCTGCAGCTCCTGCTCGCTCTTTTTGCCCCTGACACAGGTAGGATCCATTCAGATATTTGTATTCGTTTTATTTGCCCAATCTAGTCTTGCCTTAGCTTGCTGGAGCAGGATGTTTCTGGCTGCTGTGGTGTTAGGTCTGTCCTGCCCTCTGGACACACTGGGAGAAGCCCAGCAAAGTTTGTGGATCTGAAAGGGAAAGCATCAGATAAGCAAGGATCTCGAGGATACGGATCTGAGCATTAATAACACAGCGTGTCTGCTACACCAGCAAAGCATTCCTCAGCAGGAAAGCCAACCCTGGAACTGCTGGGCCTGCTAGAGAGCCATGAGTCAGGTCCCGGGAATGCGGGGAATGTCAGGAGCACCACAGAGCCGGAGGAGCAGAGGGAGCATCAGGTGAAGGAGCACAACTCCGTGGAAGCTTCCCTCTTCCCTTAGTCACGCAGAACAGATTGAGGTCAGTGAAATGGTGCAGTCAGCGGGGAAGAACTCCTCACATTCACTAATTATTAATTACTCCCCAAGTAATGAATGTAGCGGAGGGCACCGTGCTCTGCTGCTTCAGTTCTTCCATTAGAGGAGCCACCCAGAGGTGAGTTTTGAAAGTGAGCTTGGATGTCTCTTCCCAAATACAGACATGTATGTGGTGGCAGCCACAGAACATGGAAAATGTGCATTTTCGTGCAGTTGCACTCACATTGCTTCTTCAAGATTTTTTTTCTTTTTTTTTTGACTATAATACAAAGAATTTCCTAAAACATTTATTAAGACATCTGAAGTATAATTTAATCCTAAATCAACAGATACTGCGTCTGCAAGTCTGTGTCCTTCCTTCCCCAGATGAGCACATTCAAAGCCCTGCAGGCTGGTGAACTAATAAGCCCTGCTGGACCTCTGCAGAGTTTTAGGAATAGTGGGTTAAACTTGAATGAAAAGGAGAACTCTGACAGCTTCTGGTGCTTTGTTGGGGGACTAGGCTGTGTTTGTTCCCCCGAGTGCCTTTGTTCAGAGTCAAATAGTCTGTAGAGCTGGAAAGGGCCTTAATTGGAAGGTCTTTTCTGCAGCTCCAAATCATGTCAAAGTCCCCTCTGCAGAGCTTTAAATGGCACCAGTTACAACAAAATGTTTATGCTGAGAAGTAACACCTTTGTTCGCCCTGCTGTTGAAACCCTTTTTCATTTTGCAAAATAGATCCCCCAGGAGAGGAGCTCAAAGACTGTCCTGAACTTTCCTGTCTCGGATTTGGACACAAAGATGCTTTGCTGTCTGATGGTCTTGCCAAATTTCAGACCACTGGCTTTTCAAGTTAAAAAACGGTGCCTAAACGATGTCACACAAAGTATTTTTGTGTCCTGCCTTATTGTGCGCACATAACAGAAGAGAATCCTTCTCTGTCCCTGACTCAAGAGCATCCCAGTTTATTTTCTTCATCTCCACTTTCTCCTGAATCGCTTCCATTTTCAGACCAATTCCTGCCTTTCTCATATAGGCTTCTCTGCTAACACTTTATTCAGTTCACCAGCACAATTGCTGCTTTTTTTCCGGGGGTGAATCCTTGCTTTCCCAAGAAATGATCTCATCCCCCTGCAGATGTCTGTAACGTCAATCACCAGAACAAGGCCGGCTATACCCCCATCATGCTGGCCGCGCTTGCAGCTGTGGAGGCAGAGAAGGACATGAGGATAGTGGAAGAGCTCTTCAGCTGCGGGGATGTGAACGCCAAAGCCAGCCAGGTCAGTCCTGCGCTTTGCAAGGCCCAGCTCCAACGTGCACCCCTCAATCTCTGCTCCCTTCCATGCTCCGTTGGTGCAGCCCTTGCACTGATGCTCGGTGGCTCTCCTTGGTGTCGCGATGCTCCTCGTTATGTTTTGGGTTGCTCTACTCAAAACAGAGCCCTGGAGGAGCTGCTGAGCCTCGGGTGCAGATGCCTTTGAAAATGACTGGCAAAGATGGAGTATTGTGTGAAAAAGCCATCTCTCAATTGTGGGAGGCATTTGCGGAGTCTGTGGCGTTGAGTACCTTCTGAGGACCTCCAGCTGTGTGGGAACCACTCTAATTTAATAAATATCTGTGTTAGTGTGGAGAATATTATGTATAAAATGTGTTCCAATAATGGCAAGCAGAAACTTGACAGTCCCTTAGAAAATAATCATTTTTCCCCCCTGAAAAAGCACAGCGCCACGTAAACAAACAAACAAAAGTGAGCGATGAGTGACTAATGATTGATTGCCTGTGTGGTGACTTGGTTTTCTCTTTCTGCCCTCCTTATGCAGGCTGGGCAGACGGCTTTGATGCTGGCTGTGAGTCACGGGCGGATAGACATGGTGAAGGCTTTGCTGGCCTGTGGCGCAGACGTCAACATCCAGGACGACGAGGGCTCCACGGCGCTCATGTGTGCCAGTGAGCACGGGCACGTAGAGATCGTCAAGCTGCTGCTGGCCCAGCCTGGCTGCAATGGATCCCTGGAGGACAACGTGAGTGGCCTTTCCAGACGCTGCTTCATCACATAGTTTCTTCACTCTGGAATGCTTTTCTGATTTAGTTTTTTTGATTTAGTGAAGAGCTGCAGAAATCTCGTGAAGCTCTGACTCATATCCCCGAGTGCCAAGTGCATGAATCCTCTTTAGCTGTAGGAAGTGCTGTGGTTATTTGCCTTCTAACTTGCTTTTCTAGGAAGCCTTCTCAGCAGTAATTTTTGTACTTAGGTGATTAGTGTTAGGTGTACAGTTGCCAGAAGAGAAAAATCTTCTGTTAGCTTAGGACAAAGCATCTTCCCTTCCCCATTTACCAGGAGTTCCCTAATTCTCCTTTAGGACTTTACTTGGTGACTTAATGGCCTTGCTCTGTTGTTTCTCTGTGTTCATGGCAAATACCAGCCCCAAGCTTCTCCTCATGACATGAGATGTCCACTCACACCATGACTTTGGTTTGGTCTCTCAGTCGTGAAGCTGCTATTGTGTTAGGACAATAAACAGATGCAGGCTGTGACCTCAGTGCCACCTGCACATTTCTTGGTTTGCAGAGATCATTGCAAACTGCGCTGTTAAATGGTCAGGACTTGATCAGTGGAGTATTCAAGACTTCAAACCTCGGCCCAGCTTTTGTCTTAGCTGAATGTTACTGTATTCTTGGAAAACAATGGCATAGCCTTTGTCTTAGCCAAGTATTACTGTGTTCTTGGAAAGAACACAATTTCATGCGTACGTTTCAGTTCATCCTCTTGCTGTCACCCACTGAGCACTGAAGCAGAGCCAGGATTTCAGTGCAATAGACCCACAGTAGCATGACTATTCATCCAGCCAATAGTTGAAACCTTTATAGGAGACTACAGTTTAATATTGCTATCCAAGCACAGCCTGTCTGCTTTTTGCTCGGTGGGTCTGCCCGTGCTGGGAGGTTTTGAGGTTTTTAACATCCAGAGCTGTTTATGTCCTGTCTCAACAGGAAAGTCCTTTTATAAGTAGCGATGCTCCCATGGAGGAGCATTGGGAATAAGAAATGCACTTGCTCTTGGTGTTAATGGGAGCAGTAACAAAACAATTACCATATCTGATTAATGCTTATCCCTCCCTTAGCTTTTCTTCCCCTCCTCAGCGGCGCTGAGTTTCCCTCAGACAGACCAATTTTCTGAAATGCTGGTCTTACACAGCATTACATGTAACATTATTGTGGTAATGGCATGCTCGCTCCTGCTCGGCAATAATCTGGTCTCCTCGTTGCGAGAAATTATGAGGCCTCTGACAATTGGACTGCCTCATAAACCAGCGGCACAAGGCTTCTTGTCACTTAATTATAACAGAAGAAATTAAATGAGACTCTAAATTAACCCAGCTGTCTGAGCAGGAGGGCCTTCACTTCGGTATCTTCCCTTCTCCCTTCTCTGAGGGAGCTTTGGAGGGATCTGCTGCAGTGCACAAACAGTAATTCCCATCTTCCTTCCTTCCTTCCTTCCTTTCTTCTCTCAGGATGGCAGCACAGCACTTTCTATAGCCCTGGAAGCTGGACATAAGGACATAGCAGTTCTTCTCTACGCCCATGTCAACTTCTCCAAAACCCAGTCACCGGTTAGTATACAGCCCCTTAAGTGTAATGAACATGGCTTATGTTTTAGATTGCTCTTCCTAAGCATAATAGACAAGTGCAAATACAAAATATAAAAAAAAAAGTATATCATTTGGCTTGCTGTTTTTTGATAGAAGGCAATTTAAACACGTTTGTGGCTACAGCTTTGCACAGAAATGTTTCTCTCAGTTAACTTATTTCTGCAGGCCAGCACAGATACTTCCCCTTTACCCACAGAGTAACCTTTATGCTGGTTAGTAAATACAAATATAAGGATACAGATGGCAATAGGCTGGTCATTAGCTGAGGGATACCCCCTGCTTTCCTCTTGGAGTGAGGATAGTGATGTTGAAGCAAGTGCAGTGCTGAATACTGACCAAACCACCGAAACACGGTTGGTAACAGCTGCCCTAGGTGCTCTGTCGCGTATCCACCTGCTCGGAGCCCTGGCTCACTCTTCAGGAGAACTGATGCTAAATATTTCACTGTATAAACCACACGTGCTCTGTCATAGCAGGCTGTATGAGAGCTCGTGTTCCCCTTCCCCAAATGAGAAAAAAATGATAAAAATAATAGTAAATCTGTGCAATAAAAGGGAGAAGGGACTGAACTTGTGATTGCTGCGTTCTCATTCTGCTTAGCTGGATTAATTTCACCTTGATTAACTGTTCTTGCCTCTTCTCTAGGGCACTCCGAGGCTTAGCAGAAAGACGTCTCCTGGTCCTACCCACAGAGCCACCTTTGAGTAATAACGCGTGAATATCTCTAAGAATCTTAATGCCATCTTTAAGCTGCTAATTGTAACTGTTTAACTGAGACAGATACTGAATGTAATTGTCTTGTGCCTGAACTCACCAGCAAAGTGAAAGCAGAGACCTAGTGCTAAAGATAGAAAACTGTAAACTTGAAGCAAGCATATAGTTAAGTAGTAGATGGCTACAAGACCCTTAGCCAGATCTGTTCTTTTGCTCACTTACTCATCTTTCCACACATTGGCATAAATGCTGTTTTTCTTTGCTGTATGTTGTCTTCTCCCATGTGATATACAGTTTAAGAACATTAAGGCTATCCGTGGAAGGGTCCCAGTGGCATATTTTTAGTCATTCTAAAGTATATCTGCATTTGCTATGCCTAGACTTTTATCACAGTAACCTTCTTCGTAAATTTCATTCCATCATGATTTTAATGTTTTTAATTACCTTGAAATCCAGAAGTTGCAGTTGCTTATGTAGTCAGCTCCGCGGAGCTTGAGCTGGTGGGTGGACGGGTTAGGAATAGAGAGCAGACCCTCTGACAGGTCTGAAGTTCACGAAAGCTGTTGCTTATTGGGGATATGTATAACTTTTTTTTTTTTTTATTAAAGATAACAGTATCTATAAAATTAACTCGCACAGTATTTTCAACATTTTATATTCTTTAATAATTGAAAACTACATGAAGAATTACATGTCTTGTTACCATATTTTTATTAACTGTGTCAGTCCATAAGCTCCATATGTGTTTCTTGGAGAAAAAAAATCAGAGGTATCAGCTATATATTCCCCTTGAGTGGAATTGAGTGTAGTTCTCAGTGCATATTTATGGAATGCTATTACCTTGTCACATTCACTTTAGTCATGTGTATTTAAATGTTTGAAGTGCCTTAGACTCTTGCCATATTTTCAGAATAAAATTTCATTATGCTGTTTTACTCCCCTCCGGTTTCCCGTGTGATTTGTCATTGTCCCCAAATGCTGCGAGCTGCAAGGCGGGATGGATTGGTAAGTCAAGGCAGGGAAGACTGGATAGTCTTTCCCAGGAAGATCATGACACGGGGATGCACTCTGCTGTCTATGACCCATCTCTTCAGGCGCCTGGACAGGCCTCGAGTGGCTCTCCTTTCATTTCTGTTCATTTATTACCCTTTGCCACAATGCAGAAACTGTTTGGAAAGTAAGGAGAAACCAAGAGATCTTGTTCTGGTCCTTATGAGCTTAAAACACATTCTGTGCTGGTATTGATGTTGTACAAACCAAGCTGATGGAGCAGAGGAAAGGATGACTGTTTTAACCACTCTGAAGAAAAAAGTTCTACTATGTCTGCTTTTAAACTCACAGAGAATCCAGTTTATTCTTTATAGATGCATATTCTTACCCAATGGATTGAGTGCTTAACCAGTAAAAAGACATTGTCTTGCCAGAACAGTGTTTGGACCTCGATCAGGTTTCTATTTTCTGTTTTACCAAGAATGTGATTTTTATTTAGCATTGGTTTGACCAGAAACCATTTAATTTGTGCTTCCTGCTGTAAGGAAGTCAGTAATCATAACTTTGACTCTGGGTCATATCTCATTATAGCAATTTCAAAGCCTGTGGGTCGTATAAAAGTCTCCACAGTGACAGATTTCGCCAAAAATATTTTTTAAAAAAACAAGGGTCTTTGCTACTTCCCTACTCCCTTGGTACTGTCCTTCTTTTTCACTTATACATATTGGTGTGTGTAGCCCAAGACTAAAAAAAAAATTAAAGCCTGCAAATTTAAGTTTTCAGAGTAAAGGGCCATCACTGCTAGAATCTCTTTTCCCCTATCTCTTCCTACAGAAATTCATGAGTGTCCTGAGTATGACTGTTCTTGCAGGGTTCAAATGGGAGAGACATGTAGGTATCTAATGACACAGATATATTTGCCTAGAAGTACGTTAATACATTTTTAACCACAGACATGTGAGTAGGAAGAAGATTGTGGGAACAAACATTTTCCTTTTTTTTTTTTTTTTTTTTTTCTGTTTTTTTTGTTTTGTTTAAGAACTGGTTTATCAGAAGCCAACATAATAGAATAGTAGGATTTTTTTTTTCTAAGTGCATTTCTTTCTAATGGCCTCTTTCTAGATGGCGTCTCATCAGGAATATAATAAAAGTGTGAATCTTTGACTTAAGGTGGAACTTAGGTGAGCACGAGAGCTGGCCCAGCAACAGTCTCCTAGGGCCTTGGAAAATGTCAAATTATGTTCTAGACTCTCTACATTTCTCTTTAATATTTAGCCTCTTCCCAAATGTGCATGCAGCATTGTTTTGGGATAGAAAACACTTGTAAAGCAAAGAGCTCCCAGTTTCTGTAGTATGTTAAAATGGGCTGTTGCCTTTAGAGAAACTGCTGAAAGGAAGCAAAGCTTTCTATGTGTCACTTAATGCAAGTGAAAAGTATGGAATTGCTAAAACCAGTAAAAGTCATCTTTTTGCACAAAAGCCTATTTGGGGAGACAGTGAACTGAGCAGTGCAAGCAGTGAAAAAGGAAATGATAATTACCCTGTTAGCATTTTGTTTTCTTTGATGACCTTCCTGTAGCCAAGGGCTTGACACCTGAGGCAGTTCACACGGAAAGTCAGGCGCTTTCCCAGGAAATAGCTGGGAGCTTCCTGAGCCTGTTGGCACGCACCAGTGCCCTTTGCAATCACGTTTAATGCTGCCTGCTGATGCAGGATTGCGCCGTGGCAGGTGCTGGGATTAAGGGGTTTACCAGGCATAGCAGCGCTGCTAGTGATCTACCCCGTCCCCACCAGTGCCAGCATCCCACACGTTGGCTTTTCCGCGCGTATCGGATGTGGAGCGACTCCCGGGATATCCGAGCACGATGTGGTTGTGCTCTTTGGAAGTGTATCTGCCAGTGAGTTGCTTAAAGTGCTCTGGCACTCCTTGGAGATGGCAAAATCCTTCATGGCCTTGTTGCAGGTACACTGAGATGCACTAAGATGGAGATGAATGATGCTGATAGGTAAGAGGTGAGGGGTTGCTGAGGCAAACTTAAAAATGATGGAAATCGGGGCAGCACAACAGTGATTTAAATGCATAGACCAAAGGAGAGGAGTTCGTGGTAGCATCAGAAACACATTTTTATTTTCATTATAAAAGCAGTGTACATGCTACTATATTAGCTGTGGAGTGCATATCTGCATGCAACTAGCAGAGGGGTATTTCTAGGAGACATACAGGTAATATTTTTCTCCAGTTCTCCACTTAATGGCATTAGCCATAGTTGTAGCAATAGTCCCCATTGCATTCTTCCTGAAGAGCTTTGTCTAGACACAGAAATGAAAGAGTAGTTCCTGTTCCCGGGGTAATATAGTCACTGCTCAGAAGATAAGTCATTTCTTTTGTGTGCCGTGGGGAAGAGGCAGATTTACTAAAGATCCTCGTGTAATTCTTTGCTTTGGTGTCACATCACTCTTTCAGAGATGAAAAAAAACCCAAAACCTAAACCCTAAAACTTGCTGTTTATGGCAGTCAAATAGTGGTGACCCTGCAATAGCTCCTGGGTATCTTTTGGGGACAGAAGAGCATTTTTTCTCAGTCCCAGAGGCAGGTAAGACCTCCAGGCTGTCCAGCTGGTATTGGGGAAATATAAAATGGCAGAAAATTGCTTTTCCCCAAAACACAGTCATTCTTGCGAATTTGTCATGAGAATTTTGCAGGCCAAGCACAGGTACCTGCTCAGAAGCCCTTTATTACAGTGATATAATCTACATCTCTAACTTGACAAGAAGCTCGTTGATGCCTTCTGCGGTGGGTACTGATTTGGGCAGCTCTACAAAGAGATTGAGGAAGAGATTAGAAATGTGGGCTGATAATGAAAGATTTGGTTTAGGAAAACAGGCTGAAGCAACCATGGAAGAATAATGAAAGTTGGAGGTGTCACAGAAAGCTGTGACACTGAAAGAAAACTTGTCTGAGAGCAAACTAAGCAAGTAGTGAGATCAAAAATGATCTGTGAGCTTTTTGGCTGCTTCACATGGGCCTCGGATGGTGGGAAGAAACTGTGGTTTTGGCCCCATAAAGAGAGATCCAAATGCAACCACCATAGACCAAATTAGCAACAGCTGAAGACAAGCTGCAAGTTGACCTTAAGGTAGAAGTTCCATTTTTGAATTTTTAAGAAGCAAGTTCTGAAAGTAAGGTATGTACAACATACTACAATGTGTGGCTAGTTAAGTAATGAGCAGCACAGATGATCAGCAAAAAGGGAAATAAAGCAAAGAAGTGCAGCTAAAAGTGAGATGGTTCTGCAGGTTGGCTCTATAAAAAATAGGTTTAGCGCTTGATAGGGCTGGGACAGCTTTTAAATAAAAATAAATATGCGTGTCTGTATATTATAACACAAGGTCCCCTTGTGTGCTGGTCCTGGTATAACAATCAAGACTGGGTCAGGAACAAGATACACATGTAGACTTACTGAGAAGGGCACATAGGGTTTTACATCCCTAAAAAACGTGCTTCAGATAACACATATATCCCTTATTTCAGCTGTGTGAACAAAATTCCCAGCTCCTTTCCCTACTGAAGGGCCTTGGCGTCTCCTTTACCCTTACCTGCTCCCTGGCAGTTTCTTTGCGGAGCGTGGGGACCCCTACAGACAGGATAAACTCCATACAGCTGCGAGTGTTTAAGGAACAGACCTGCCCCCCGACAGAGCAGTAGCAGTGCTTTCCAGTATCTCAGCATCAATTCGCTTTATTTTTCAATTTTTTTTTTAGGCCTCATGCAACTGCTGGCATTTCAGAGCTGAATGCATGAGCTGGCATATGCCGAGTTCTAAATACATGTTGTCTATAACTTAGCTTTGAGGTCCTCTGTTGTCTCTGCTTGTCCCCAGGTTTTCTGCTTACAAAGGAAGCCTAGCAATAGCCTGCTGAGATCTGAGAGTAACAGCTGAATGTGGGCTGTTCTTTTTAGTTTTTCTTTCTTCGCTTCTGTGGAGCCAGAGCAGGAGGCCGCCCAGGAGAAGATGGACATCTCCTTTGGTCCTCAAGGTGTCCCTCACGTAACGGGGTGATATTCTTGAGGAAGAGGACAGTGCCATGGAGTTTGAGTCACCTGCCAGATGTATTTCTGGGTCTTAGAAGTGCCACGGCTAGCTCAGGTCTGTGTTAAACCCCGTACAGCACAAACACGACTCAACCACAGCCCTGGGCTGCTGCATGTCCCTTCCACCACAGAAAAGGTGCAGGACAAAGATGGAGACACGGGAGTATGTGGAAATTTAGGCTTGGCTTTAACACAGGCTTCACGGAAAGCCTGAGTCCAGGTTTGCAGGGAAGATCCGTCACTCACTTCCACCTCTTCCTCCCGTGTTTATTCCCAGCGCTTCATTCCCAGCTGTGTAAACTAATGAGTCCCTCATCTTAATGAGGCTGCTTTTCCCACTGCTTTGATTAGATCAAAACAAGACTGGGTGTGTGAAAGTCGTTCCTTCAGCTCCCTGCTGGAAGGAGGGTTGTGCTAACTTGGATTTTGAGCCAAGGACACTCCTGAATTCCTGCACAGGGACTAACACCGCTCTCTCTGTCGCCTTCCCATCCACTGATCCACCTACAAGCTGTGATTAGGGATGTGTCCTTACAGCAACAGTCTGGAAATCAGCTATTTTGTAAGCCTTGCTGGGACCTTAGAACTTATTTAATGTAACAGTGATCACTTTAGAGCCCTTCTTTGAGAAGAGAAAAGAAAAACAGTAAATGCAGGATATTCTTTGTAGCAACATTGCC